AGATTATTGCCATGTTTATACTGAATTTTCTCTGTTTCATTTTTTGTTAATTGTGATCGCCACGTTAGACCCAACCGGCAAAGATGTAGGATGACTAAAAGTGAGCATGTTTTTCGTCTCGGAGGACCATTCCACAGAGGATGGCGTGACAGCCACGGTATAACCGGATGGGTAGTGCACCTCTTCGTTCAAATATACCACAGATTTGGTTGCGTGACACGTTTCAGATACTTCATAAACTAAAACAAATTCTTTCGAGGACAAATCAAATCTGAATTTTAAAGTATATCCTGCGACGGCCTGAGGATAAGTACGAGTTGTGCTTTGAACATAAATTTGATTGAGTCCTGTCCCATTCCACAGAGCAGAGCGCCTGTTTCCTTTCAGGTCAGGACGGGAGGGGTGGTACGCTTTATACTCCCACCCAATCCACGACTGAAGGTACTTATCAGCAGCATCCATGGTTTTAACCATAGGCTCAATCTCTCCAGCGCTGGTAAAAAACTCCGTCATCATTCCTCCGCATTTTAACCTCTCTAGATCTTTTTTCCGCGCCTTGAAGTTGTCGATCAGGGATAAAGAAGGGGGGCTGTAGTAATGATAGCTGAGTACACTCCTGTTTCGATACGCCTCTCCCCCTGGTACGGTGTCGAAACCGACGCCAAAGTCATCCCAAGTTACTCCTTCGAAGAAGATGCAGTGTTCTTTATCGTACTGTCGGATAGCTTTACTTAGAACTTCGTAGACGGGTGCTAAGTTCATTTTATCTGCTACTTTTGGAACAAGAAGCAGCGGATTTGCATAGATATCCCCGGCCCAGGGCTCATTGATAAGCTCGTAGCCAATAACATTGGAGAAACTTTTAAACCCCAAGGCAGTTTCAGCCCAGAAGGCGGCCCAGCTATTCAACAAATCGTCGGTATTGTTATACAAATTTTGGAAAGCAGCGCTGGTAGCTTCGGTAAAATAGTATTCTGACCACGCAAACTTTGCGCAATCCTCATCAGACGGCATTCCTGTCTTCGGG